AAAGCAGGGTTTCTCAACCTTGGCACTGTTAACATTTGGGGCTGGGTAATTCTTTGCTGTGGTTGTCATGAGGGCTGTCCTGTGAACTGTACGGTGTTTAGCAGCATCCCTGGCCTCTAACCGCTAGGTGACAGTAGCACCCCTCCCCCCAACCCAGTGGTGACAGCCCAAAATGTCTCCAGACATTGCCAAATGCCCCCTGAGGAACGAAATCGCCCCCAGTTGAGAACCACTGCATTAAAACATACATTTATATCTTATGTACTCTACTTGGGTGTTAAATTTTGCAACTAAAATTACTTTTTGAAAAAAGGGAAAAAAAAGAACCTTGGAAGAAATACATCAAATTGTTAACAAGTTAACTGAGGATGTGGGGCCATTTTTCACTTTTGCTTTTCTGTAATATACCCTTTTTTACACTGAGTACATATTCTGTTCACAAAAAGAAAACAGAAGGCTATTTTCAATGCTTTAAAGTCATTTTTTCTTTTAAAGATTGGTACCTGAGCTAACAACTGTTGCCAGTCTTCTTTTTCTCCCCAAATCCCCCCAGTACATAGCTGCATATTTTACTTGTGGGTCCTTCTAGGTGCTGCATGTGGGACGCCGCCTCAGCATGGCCTGATGAGCGGTGCCATGTCTGTGCCCAGGATCCAGACCAGCAAAACCCTGGGCCACCAAAGCGGAGGGCACGAACTTAACCACTCAGCCCCGGAGCCGGCCCCTAACGTCACTTTTAATATTGAAAAAGCTGGGTTTAGGGGCCAGCACAGTGGCGCAGCGGTTAAGTGCACACATTCCGCTTCGGCGGCCTGGGGTTTGCCAGTTCGGATCCTGGGTGCCAACATGGCACTTCTTGGCAAGCCATGCTGTGGTAGGCATCCCACACATAAAGTAGAGGAAGATGGGCACGGATGTTAGCTCGGGGCCAGGCTTCCTCAGCAAAAAGAGGAGGATTGGCAGCAGATATTAGCTCAGGGCTGGATCTTCCTCAAAAAAAAAAACCAAAACAACAACAAAAGCTGGGCTCAGGGAGTCCCGCGCCCCTGCAGCCCACCTTCCCTACACAGGTGAGCCACGTCTGCCCCTCAGGAGTGTCTCTGCCTTCAGATGGTTCTATAAGATCCCTCGGGCTCCTGCTTGAGGTCTAGAGACTCCCCGGAGATAGAGAGGGGAGGAGGACAGAGGCAGAAGGGCTGCCTTGAGAAACTGGGGAGGAAGAGAGGACCTGACGGGATGAGAGAGAAGGAAGAGACAGTAATGACCCTCGAGTTTCGGGCTGGTGCGCCTGGGTGAATGAAGCAGGGCAGAACTTCACCAAGTGGGGACACAGGAGATCCGACTTTCAGGGAAATAAGATGTGTGAGCTCCAGGGCAACGGGAGCTTCAACCTGTCTTGTTCTTGGGTGCATCCCCAGCACTTCGAACAGCACCCAGCATGTAGTAGATGTTCAATAAATATTTGTCCAATGAGCTAAATGCATGAAGGAAGGGACATAAATAATCACGTTGGAGGGTAGAAAATGGGCAGGGCAGGAGAGAGGTACAGATCTCTAATGCTTTAGGAAGTGAAGCTGCTCACTCACGCAGACGATCAGTCAAAAATATCTACCACGGGTAGTTTTAGCTGACTAATTATTAATACAAAAACAAAGGAGTGATAAGTGTTCATTAACAGCCTCTACCCTGAAGCTCTGAGACACGGAAACAAAAAAACTGCCCTCGGAGTCCAGCCTCCCAGAGCTCATAGTCTATTTTGGGAGGCAGGTCCTGAAATTACATCCAAGGCTGGAATGCCCGGGGGACAACTGCAGGGCAAGGGGGCCAGCCCCTAGTGCAGGCCTCTGTCCCCTCCGCCATGAGGGGGTTGGGCTCAAGCCTTCTCACCCCTGACTGTGAATGTGAAATATTTGGAGAGTTTTTAGAAACACCTATATCTGGGTCCCTCCTCTAGAGATCTAGCGTCAAGAGAGGAGGGGACAGGGAGGCTGGCAGAGGATTTTCCTAAAACTTCCACATGATTCTGATGTGCAGCCAGGGCTCAATACCCTAGCCTAGAGGATCTGTAGGTTCTGGGTCCGATTCTAGCAGCCAGCCTCCCTAGCCTCAGCCTAGCCCAGACTCCAGCATGAATACCTCCTGTGCGGAGGGGGGTCAAATTAATTTCGCCTTTCACCACATCTCACGTCAATTTCTCTCAAGGTGTGGTTCTGAAATAGCCTGCCTCAGGTAGGTGTTAAGCACTGATTCTCAGGTCACACAGACCTGCTAAATCGGAACCTTTATGGATGGGACCCAGAAATCTGTCTTGCAAGCACACTCTCCAAGGGATTCTCAGGCACAGTAAAGCGTGAGGACCACTGCCCCAGACTGCATGAGGCTCCCAGGCACATCCAGCGGACGGCTAGAGGCTGGGTCAGAAAGCACACAAACACTACGGAGCACCTATGTGCACTCAGCACCAGGCGTCCTGATAAACAGGACAGGCTGCTGCTCTCAAGGAGTCACTCATCCTAAGCCAAGTACTGCGCCCAGGCCTGTTCCGGTGAGTGCGCTAGCAGACCGAACAAGGTGCTGTGCATCCAGAGAGGAGAGACTAACGATAGCCAGGGGAATCCTGGGGTCCTTCCTGGAGAAGGTGGCATGGCAGCAAGGCTTTGGAAGATAAATAGACTTTAAACAGTTGGAGATGGTACATTCTATTATATTTTAGTTTTGCTAGCGGGTTGTCAGCCAGCAACCACACCAGGGAACCCCACCACCTGTCTGTCAGTCGTCATACTGTGGCGGCTGCCTGTTGCTGTGAGGCTGAAAGCTACACCATGGGTATTTCAAATCCCAGCAGGGTCGTCCATGGGGACAGGTTTCAGCGGAGCTTCCAGACTAAGACAGAAAACCCTATGAATAGCAGTGGAGCATTGTCTGATATAGCGCCGGAAGGTGAGAGGTTGGCACAAAAAGACCGGGCAAAGTTCCGCTCTACTGTACACAGCGTCGTTTGGGGTCTGAATCAACCTGATGGCACTAACAACAAAGGGGTTTGTCAGCGCGAATAAACACTAAGGCATTGTAAAGGGCAGGGAAAGCAGAGACTGGGGGAGGACGGCAGCTCTAGCAGCCAAGAGGGGCCTCAACAGATTCAGTCACCCCCTTGAACCGAGGGTGCTGCCCACTCCGAGCACTGGCAGCTCCCTGCCATGACCACTGACCTGGACACACCACTGACTTCCCTAGGTTTCCCCCTTTAAGCACATACTTTTTAATTCCACAAAACCACAGGATATGCCTCCTGGTCTTACCTCTTTCCTCTTAGGAAAACCCTCTCTCCTCTCCTTATTTATCTTTCTTTGCAGAACTGGGATCCTGACTCACAGCCATTGTTCCTTCTCTTAATTTTGACAGATCCTTCCTCTTCCCTTTCCCCTCCTGAGACACCTCCTCACATGGGAATGTCCGCCTTGAAGCGGGGCGGGTAAGGGTGCCCTGCCAGAAGCAGGCGGCTGAGCCCTTGGTTGCCCTGAACAGAGAAGAGAGACCCTTTCCTGTCTAAGGACTACCTGTAGGCACCCACACTCTTTGAATTTGGAAAAACATCCTTGACAGCCTCCCAAATTTCTTGTATCAAGGCCATATCCATCCTGTTCTGTTTCTTTTCCTCCCAACTGAGACAGGACAGAGTCAATATGGCCAGTCTTCAACAAAGATGGGCGAATGAATGAATGAATGAAATAAAGACACAACTTCCAAAGTACACCGGCTACACGTCCAGTTGCTAAGGGATTCCTCTCTCTATTCTGCACCCATTCTCCAACCCACCCTCATCCCCACCGCCCGGGAAGGACTCGCACTTGATCCCCTCCGGGTATTGGTCTTAGAAAAGTGATAGCTGTTGGCATATTATGGCACTTGTAGTTTTCCGAAATTTCAGAGCACTATGGCATTTATTGCGCTCTGTTTCATCCTCCTCGCCCCCTCTGCAGAAGACAGTGCTGAGATTTCTGTCCCTTCTGACTGAGGGAGAAACTGTGGCCTGAACGGTGGTTAGTGCAGGAGCCAGGGCCGCAGACACGGCCGTGCGCGCAGAGTCGGTGGTGCGGCCGCGGGGCTCTCACCTCGGAAAGTCAGGCTGGCGACCGGGTCGCTGCGCCGGTCCTTCTTCACAGTGGGAAGGTTGCTGGCCTTCACTAGCAGGCAGCACAGCATGGTTCGGCCGCCCTGGGCGCGCAGAAGCGCGCGGGCAGGACGGGGCAGGAGCGGGAGCGCGAGCGCGGGGCCCAGGTACCCACCGAGCAAACGCCCGGCTCCGCGGCCGCCGCGCCAAAGTGGAGTGCCGCCTTCGCTGCGCCTCGGCGAAGTCCCAACGCCCGGGAGAGGCCGCCCAGAGGACACCGGACACCCACTGGGCGGACCCTCCCCTTCGGCCCCTTCCCGGATCCGCGGCGGGCGGGGCCGACAGGAGTCAGATGGTTGCCTGTGGGGGGGCTGGTGCCCCCTCCGCGGGTTCCCGCTCCCGGGCCAGGAATGGAAGAGCCATTGACGCGGGGCGCACAGCTCAGCCGCGCTGCGCCGACAAGGCACCTCCGGCCCTGCTTGCGGAGTCCCCAGCGTCCGGGGCTCCCCGCGCGTCGGCCGCTCTCCTCCCTCTGCGCCGAGCCCAGGCCGGCCAGCCGAGGGCGCTTGGCGAATGGGTGCGAAGGAGAAATGCACGAAGGCCGGAGGACGGGGAGATCCGGCTGCAGGAACGCGAACGTGTCCGCGGAAAGGAGTCGGAGCGAGCGCCGAAGGAGGCGTGTGCGGGGCGGCAGAGCGCGCGCGGCTCCCCGAGACCCCGGCCTCCGCGCCGCCCGCCTCACCCCCTGCCCGGTTACCTGCGCTCGGGGCCCCGACGCCCTGAGACTCCGAGGCTCGAGCCCTCGCGAACCCGCCTCTGAGCCTTCTCGAGAGCAGTCTGGGGTCGCTCATCGTCGGACACAGAGGTCTGTGTCCAAATTATATTGCATTCCCTGGAGCACAGCAGTCCGCCCACTGCCCATTCCGTCCCCTGACACAGCCGCACCACCACCAGCAATCTCCAGGCCCCCTGGCCCCCGCTATGGGGCAGATTTCCTCTAGCGTGAGCCTCGAGCGGTGACAGCCCTTAGCACGCTTTCCCGTGTTATGTCTGGTTCTTTTCCACCTGATGAACTTCTCGACCTCAGGGGCCCAGCTTCTCACCTGTTTACCCCTCTACCCCAACACCTGGCACCAGTCAGGGCGCCGTCCCGCCTCCCACGTCCCAAGTCTCACTCAGCCTGAATTGAGTTATTAGTTATTCTGCTGCATAAAGTCGCAATTTCCTTTCCCCTCTCTCATTTTGAGGATCCAGCCTTTTCATGTGGCTAGACCACCACCTGGTGAAATCCAGCTCCGCCCGCTCCACCCCTCATCCTAAGCGCCAAAGGTGTTGCAGAATAAACCAGCTAACCCGCCCCGTGTCACTAGATATTCATGACCCCTGACTAGGGTGGACCCTTACTGCTGCCGGCAATCATATTCCACTTCCCGTCTCTTCAGTCTGCATCTCTCCTAGACGACTATTTCATACCTTTCTCCCAAAACCTACGACACCCCTTCGCCATCCCCACCCTCAGTTTGCCTCCTATATACTGAGTAGAGAACTTCCTCAGGCTTCCAGCCTCCTAAGCCCCATCAGTATTGTGTGCAGATCCTTTGCCTTCTCTCCTGTTATCATGAATGAATCATCAGTACCCCTAAGACCCCTGGGCGCCCAGGCAGAGGTCCTACCCTTCCCACCCACTCACTGACTAGTCTGAGGCTGTCCTCTCCCCACCTTAAAGGTGCGCCTCGTCTAGCTGGCCTGGGTTATCTTCTCCTGGGTCTGCTGCTCTGCCTGGGTGACTCTGCCCTGGTGACTCTGCCCACCGTCATAATGAGGGGGACACTTGCTTTCTCTCCAACATCCAGACCCCCTTCCTCCCTCTTAGCAGAACCCGACTGCTCAGATACCACCCCCAGCCCCAGCTCCAGTGGATCCTGATCTAGTTGAGCCCGTCTCCCGGCAACAGCTATTGGTCTAGTGATGGGCATATGTCCTGAGTTGTTGTCCCAGAGGGACAGACTTAGACTCTGTGAATGGACTAGCCCAACTCCCTCTCCTGCTTCACGAAAATAAGGAAGCACGTAGATCCCACTGCTGCCCAGCTCTAGGATGCGGCAGACACCAAGGATGGCAGACCAGAGAGAAAAATGGAGTCTACCTGGGTCCAGGATGGCTGGGGAGCTCTACACTCTATATGCCCAGAGCCCACCAGGTCTCTGGATCATACTGGGGCCTAGGACTCAATGGGGCTTCCTCCCCTGGGGACTTGTATCAGGAACGAAGATCACTTTAAGACTGTTCATTATTAAATTCTCTTTGAGGCAGGATTTCACTTACCTGCAGCCTAAACCATCCTTACTGACACCCATGACTTTGGTATCGTCTATGTGCCCAGAGCATCCGAATGCCTCCACTGAGGCATTTCTACCTCCACCCTCTCCTGCTGGGCCTCTGCAGGACTCCCTTAACTGTCACCTCACGGTCACTCTGGTCACCTCTGGTCCACTATCCACACTGGAGCCAGGAGATCTTAAAACAAATATGATCAGGTCACTCCCCTGCTGAAAACCCCTCAGAGGCCTCCCGTGCTCTTGGGATAAAGCCCGGATCCCTTACCTCTGCCCACAGGGGAAGGCCACTCGGCCCTCACTCTCTGAGCTCCAACTCCAGTGGCTTCTCCGTTTCTGGAACGTGCTGAGCTCCCTCCCAATTCCGAGCTCTGCTGTCGCCTCTGCCTGCACCTGCCTTCCCCTCACTCTTTACAGGGTCACCCTCATTCATCCTTCAGGCCTCAGCTTAAAATCCCTTCCCCAGGGCAGCCGTCTCTGACTTCCTGGTTGGGTCCCTCTGGCTGGACAGCAGCACTTGTCCTTCCTAGCACTTGTCACTATTGTAAGGAATAACTAATTATTTGTTTGATGTCTGGTTAGACTGTGGAGTCACTCAGTGAGGGGAGAGACCAAGTCGGTCTCAGTCAGCCAGGGATTCCCAGCGCATCGTCAGGGCTGGCCTGGGCTTGATGTTGTGGGCACTGTGCTGTGCTCCCCAGGGTCCCTTGTATCTGGTGAGGAGGCTAAACCAGTGGTTCTCAAAGAGGACAGTACTGCCCTCTAGGGGGAATTCTGGATATGCTGATTTGGGAGACTTTTTACTGTCACAGTGACTTGCGGCTTTGTTCCTTTCCCCCACATACCACACCCTGCCCCTTACTCCTGCTCTAATCCATCAGAGGCAGCACAGGAAATCTGTAAGGGGCATATCTAATATTTCCAGAGGAACATTCCAAGGTCCTAATGTCTGGGGCCTTGTTTTTTCCCAAGGCCTGACATAGGGGTCCAAGGAGCAAACAAACCTCGCCCCTCTGCTCAGTGACGTCAACCTTGAGATGAACACTCTGCATGTGAGTTTACATGATTCCTCCAGGGCACGTTTGCCCAAGTCCAGAACCTTCCAGGAGTATGGATGGTCCAATGCATCCTTCTACCCTCTCACATCACATTCACTAAAGAATGTGTCCCACAGATATCCCAAACCAACCAGGGGGGTTGACGGGGCACCTGCGTGTCCACTGAGGGTGCAGAATGCACAGGTAGGAGTGATTATGGCTACGGCCATAATCACATGACTTCCCGGGAAGAGCAGCCCCATAGTGGGCACAATCAGGTGGTCCTGAACTTCTGTCCCAGTCTGTGTGAACTGAGGCATGGCCTTGACCTTTCAGAGTCTGTTTCTGCTTCTGTGAAATCAAGAGAATGATAGTTGGCAGCGGTGTAGGGAGGACAATGCCAAACCCTAGCTCCTCCAGCACGCGCAGTGCCTGGCTGCACAGTAGGTGTACAATGGCTGTTAGCACCCTTCCTGCTAACATTTCCCTCTAGTGAACCAGTCTAGGAAAGGACTAGCATGCAGGCAGCAGAGAAAGAGATGGCGTTTGGCCTGGGGAGAGGGACTGAGAAGGTTTGTGGGCTTGGGGAGTCACCAGAGGGATTTGTCCCAAGAAAGACCTATCACCATGGTCAGGGCCATGGCCAGCTATCAGGCAAGTGGACAAATGCCTTTGCTCCAGGAGGAGCAGCCAGAGGAGACAGGACCAGCGCCCCAGGGGGCAGAGGGGATGACCACTCAGCCCATTGTGCCCAGTCTGGTAGGACAGTGGATGGACAAACAGAGCTGATGCTAGGACTGGCCAGGCAAAAATACATTAAAAGGCTTCTTGGATGTGTGCAGTGATTTCTTAGTACATGTACAATACATGTGAACTATAATTATAATTATAATAAATACATGTATAGTTACATATAATAATGATAATTATAGTTCACATGTATTGAGTGCCAGGCACTATTCAAAGTGCTTTAAATGAATTAACACATAAACTCTTCAGAATCATCCCTCCAAAGCGGGTACTATTATCATCAACACTTTACAGATGAGGAAACTGAGATACAGAGTAGTTAAGCAACCTGCCTAAAGACACACAGCTGGAAAGTAGCAGAGCTGGGATTCCAAATCCAAGATCCCAGGCAGTGTGGGTTCAAAGCCAATACTCTGAGCTACCATCCTTCTCTCCCTCTGGTTTGATGCTCTCATCCCTCTGGAATGTGACCAAGGCTGCCAGCCATCTGCACTCCTGAGCCCCTCCACACAACTTCAGGCTGGACTGGCTAAGCCCGGGGTTTTTACTGCCCCCTTTCTGGAGGCCCCAGGGTCCCTGCCACACCCACTGCAGGCTGCCCACCTCAGTGCCCCATGACCCATCACTCTGGCCTCAGCTTCTCAGACCCTGAGCAGCCACCAGAGGCCTGTGAGATGGACTGGCAGGAGGGTACTGCCTAGAGGGAGCATCGTGGACCAACTGGTGACTGATGGGTCCCGTGAGGTCCAGACAGAGCGATGCAGAAGAGCAGAGACCATCTGAGATAAGAAAGCATCCTCCAGACCAGAGAGTGAAAAGGAGGATGTCTGCCTGGGTCAGAGAGGGCGTGAGTGGCAGGAGGGACAATGTGTGAGACACGGCAGGATGTGAGCGGGCAACGTGCAGACTGAGACTGCACTTCTGGGTGTGAGCCAGACCTGGGTTCCGACCCTGCCCCTCCACCTTTTACTGCTTGTGTCTTGTAAATCAGAGCTAAAACCAGAGGGAGCTGGTAGAGCAGTTAAAGACAGGGTTCTGGGGCCAGAGTGCGTGGGCTGGAACCCCGACTCCACCACTTACCAGCATGTAACTTAACCTGTTTGTGCTGCAGTTTTCCCGTCTATAAAATGGGGGTGATAAGAGTTGCTACCATATGCTGCTGCTAGGAGGACTCGGTGTCTGCATGCAAGTGCCTGGTACGAATTATAACTGGAACATGATACAGCTCATATGAAATGGGTTCTATTTAGAACAGTGCCTAGCACCTAGTAAGCATGGTATCAGTTAAATATATCTCTTTCATAGGATTGTTGTGGGGTTTTAAAGAAACAGGATCTGAAAATGGTACATTGTTTGTGCTTAATGAATGCCCATTCTCTCTCCTCGGGATGAATACACATGTTCAAAATCAGAGTCTTCTGTCTTTTAGTGATTCGTCTTACTCCCGGCAGTCTCGCATCCCCCACCCACTTTGCCTCAGCCCCATGCTGGGTACCCCAAGCACGGCCCTCCCCTCTCTGGCTCGGGCCAGAGTGCCTGGTGGTGTGGGCAGCATATGGTATGCTTTCCAGAGCAGTTTGTTATTCATGCACCATGGTTGCTGAGAACAACAGAGGGCACTGATGATGGGGGTGGGGGCGTGCTTTGGCCACTGTGTGACGTTAGCCAGGCCCCTGCACTTCTCTGGGCCTATTTGCTCATCTACAAAAGGAGATAATATCCCTGCCCTTTGGCCTCACAAAGCTGCTGTGAGCATGAAATGAATTTATGCGTGTCCGCAAGAGTCATGAGGTCTCATTATGGGATATTATAATCAGGTAGCCAGAGAAGGGGTTTTATGGCCCCCAAACTTAAAGGGTCTGGGGAGGCCAGATCCAGGCCAGCGGGTGAGGGAAGTCTTCCCAGAAGGGTGTTTGGCTCTGAGTAGTGCGTCCCTAAGGCCAGAGCCTTCCGTGTAATCATTCACCTAACTGGCGCAGGCTGGGAGAAGGAGGGTGAGCAGGCCTGAATGCCACAGGGAGGCCAAATTTGGACATGGGTTAGAGCTTGGCTAACGCAGCAGGTGGACTGTGGCCAGAGCTGGAGGAGGGAGGGCCTGCATTCCCCATGGCCGCCTGGCAGTGACTGTGATGACTGGGAGTGGGGGCTTCAGCCAGCCCCCTCTGTAGGCTGCAGGCCACCCCTGGTTAGCACAATGTACTTCCTTTCTCCCAAGGGAACGGGGAGCCCACCCCGAGGAGCCAGGGAGCAGGCAAAGGGCAGGACTGCAGACTGACATCAGGCAGATGGAGGGAAGGGGCTCAGTCAGGAATGTGGATAGAGCATGGGGGGGGGGGGGGCCTGCTCCATAGACAGCCGTTGGGGCTGAAATAGCAAGGACAGGAGAGCAGTACTTCCTGTGGGTGAAGCATTCCTGGGGGTAGAAAGTGCTTCCGCCATTCATTATTCATTCTTTCCTTTCTCCTACTAGGGTCCCAAGCCTGGCCTGGGTCGGGGGATCATGAAGGATGGGGCAAGTGTGTATGTGTTCAGGTAGGTGGATGGGCTTGGTTGGGGCGGGGGGGGTAGTCAGGGAAGGTGGAGGAAAATCTGGTTCAGGCTGAGTGGGCACCAGAGGAGGCAAGACCCCTGAGAACAGGGGCAGGGGCTCCAAGGTGGCCCCTCGGGGTCCATCTGTGTACTGGACAGCTCCAGAGGGTGCCGTTCACAAAGCCTGCTCAGCCCTTGGGCTGGGGGACTGCGATGGGGGAGGGGCGCTGGCGCTGGAGGGTCTGTGTAATGCACAGGGTCCCCCTCCCTCCACAGCGACAGTCTCCTCCCTCCCTCAGCCAGGAGGATGTTTATAGTGTGATGGTGCTTCCTAGCATTGTGCAAGGTGGAGCCCAGGGCCCTCAGCCAGCCGGCTAGCCGGGGCCATGCAGGTGAACCACTGGCCTGGCCTGCCTGGGGCTGAGGATGCAGAGGAAGTATGGGGGTTCCCCTCTCATGCCCTTGTCTTCTCCCTGGAAACACCTTGATAAAGGTCATCTCTGGAGGCAACTGTGGGAAACTAGTCGAAACAACATGTCAGGGAAAAAACACAGCTAGAGTGTTACCTCCCACCCCCTTCTGTCCCTTCTCTTGGTGCTGCTGCTCTCTAGGCCACAGCCCCATTCAGCAACTCCTCCAGAAGCCCCAAATCTCACACCCAGGAGTGTGTGTGTGTCTGTTATGATACATCTGTGTGAGCTGTAGGGACACATGCCTGCGGTCTCTGCAGGAACATCGCAGGTGTCACATGCACTCCTGGGTGTGTGTCTGGGAGCATATGTGCACACGGGCCTCTGGGACCAGGCAGATCCAGGAGCTAGTGGAACTGAAAGGGAAAGTCTGCTGGATGGCCAGGGGCCAGCCACTGCTCAGATTTCTGGGGGCCTGGGATGCGGCCAGATCTCTGGGGAGAAGGGGAGTGACAGGTAATGGAGGCTGAGAGGGAACCCACAAGGGGCGGTGGAGGGGCTCACACTTGCCGCTGAGTGTTCTCCCCCAGGGTGGCTCCACCCCCACAGACCCAGTTGTGTAGACCTTAGCTCTGGCTTGGCCCTGAGGGGCTCCCAGGGAAGCAGACAGGGCCCGGGCCTCACCTCCTGGAGGAAAAGTCCCGTCATAACCATGTGAAGACTTTCCTGTGGACGTCCCAATCTAAGAGGACAGCAGGCTCCCTTGCTCAAGGAAGCCCCAGTCTGATGAAGGAGACACCACCTCCCACATGCTCCAGTCTGTGGGGGTGGGGGGAAGAAAGTCCCTAGAGGTTGGTGCTGGTGACAGCTGTGTCAGCTGCTAAATTTCCCCCATCCTGTGCCCAGAGCAAGGGTAGGATCCCTGGACGGGTGGGCAGTGCCTCTGCCGCCAGTGGCCACCTCCTTGCCAGCCCAGCCTGTGATAGAGAGCAGAAGACAGGACAGCCGCCAGGCCCAGGCCCAGCGGGCAGAGAGATGGGTTATAAATAGGCTTGGGACCCAGCCTTCCCCGGAGAGGAGGGGAGTCCTGCAGTACAGCGCTTTGCCGCCCACAGCGCCGAAAGACGTCTTTAAGAGATCCAGAAGACAGAGGAGAGAGGCTGGCCCCGCCTTCCAGGTCCCCCTTAGCCCCAGCCCAGGTTCAGCTTCCAGGCCCTGAGGAAGCGCTGCTCAGCCACCTCTCCCTTCTTGCCTCAGTTTCCCTCTGAGTCGCCCCTCCCTGAGAATGTGTGTCTTTGTAACCCTCACAGTTAGTCTGGCCGGGGCGTGGAGTCTCGTGTCTCACATCCCCGCGCTGCCCGGAGTAGAGATCAGAGATGTCCCCTCCCTGACGCCCACCCTCCCCGCCCGGCGGGGATCGCAGGCCCCTCCTACCTGCAAACACAGCGGAGCAGTAGGCATCGCTGATGTCGGTGTCCGGGGTGTGGACGTTCTCGGCGTAAAGGAAAAAGACCCTCAGCATGACTGCAAGGTGTGAGGGCCCCGTGTGCCCAGGGCGCGGAGAGGGCTGGGGAAGGTCGGGGAGGGCCTAGGCGCAGTTCGTGGGTCCCCTCCCTCGACAGGGCTGGCGGAGGGAGGCCGGTTCGGATCGCTGGCTCCCGGCTCAGATCTGCTGCTCTTAAAGAGGAAAGGCCAGCCCCGGCTGCTCCAGCGGCTACACTCGGTCCCCGCCCCGGCTGCGCTTAGCCCGCTGGTCAGCGGGCGCTCCGAGGAGCACAGGGGCTTCTGCTCATCTTCCACCCGCGCCGCCCTCCCCGGGCTCGGCTGAGCTGTAATTCAATGCTCCAGCCGCAGACTCTCCCAATGACACGGCATTTTGCACCTGGCCGTGGAAGAGCGCACTGGGCGGCGGCCGCGATGGCCGGGGGCTGAACCAGGGCTCCGGGTGCCCAGCGCAGCCCAGATCTCGCTCCTGACAGGAGACAGGCTCAGCCCCTCCCCTGACCTTCCACCTCCGGCCGTGCGCTGCGCCAAGCCCGTCGCCTCCTGCCGCCGCGAGCACTCTCCCTCGGAGCCAGCGGGACCGCTCGGGGGACGGGCTGGGGAGCAGGCGCAGGCACAGCGCCTTACCGAGGGGAAGCGCCGAGCTCAGGAATTTCATTGACCCGCAGCACCGGCTGTCTTAAAAACTTTGCCCCCGCCTCTTTTCCGATTGCAAAAGCAGCACATGCTACTTTTAACACCAAAGCATAAAAGAAAGAAATCTCTGAGTCTGAAAAAAAGAGTCTTAACATTTGGCTATTTACCAGTCCAGGCTTTTTCCTCTGAATGTATATATATATGCATAGAAATTACAGTATTTACTGTACATCTGGGATCAGAGCGTATATGCAGTTCTGTGTCTTGCTTTTTCATATAACATTTTCTTGCATCATTAAAAATTCTTCATAAACAATTTTTTCAACAGCTACAATTTTCTAGCATATGAATGTATTAGAGTCACAAAGCTTTCTCCTATTGTTTCACATTTAGGCTCTTCCCAGTTTTTTACATAAAAACATGGATATAAACCCATCTTGGGCCTCCCTTTGCCGACTCCTCAGATTGGATTCCTAGCCTTGGAATAATAAGGTCGCAGCACATGCCTTATTTTTGGTCCCAGTACCTATTGCTAAACCGCTTTCCGGAAGCTGCGAGGATCCACGCTCCCAGCAGGAGGGTGACTCACCTTCTAAAGCGGGCCACTTGGATGGGTGCGCAGCTGTCAGCAAAGCTTCTCTCCCAGAAGAGCAGGGGGTAGCACACACCCAGGGCACGAGAGGTCAGCTGCAGACAGGGGGCTGGTTTTGCCCCATAAGGAGGTACTGGGGGGAAGCAACACTCCCCCAAAGGTCTTAATTGTAAGATCAGAGAGCAAACACCTCCTGTGGTCACTTCGGGTCCTCCTGCAGCAATCTGTGCCTCCTCTTCTCTTCGCCTCTAACATACTGTGTGGATGAGGGAGAGGGAAAAGGGAGGTTAAAAGTCAATCATTCGTTTAACAGGTGTATGTGGAGTCCTAAAACATGGCAAGCACTGTCCTGGCTGTTGGGGACACAATGGTGAGCAGAAACGGCATGGTCCCAGGCCGGCCTGGTGGTGTAGGGGTTAAATGCGCACGGTCCGCTTTGGCAGCCCGGGTTCGCCAGTCCAGATCCCGGGTGTGGACATGGCACTACTTGGCAGGCCATGCTGTGGTAGGTGTCCCACATATAAAGTAGAGGAAGATGGGCATGGATGTTAGCTCAGGGCCAGTCTTCCTCAGCAAGAAGAGAGAGATTGGCAGCAGTTATCTCGAGGCTAATCTTCTTCCAAAAAAAAAAAAAAGGGAGAGATGACCAGGATGAGGCCTAAGGCAGTGAGAGTGGGTTTGGCGAGGAGTAACGCTGGGAGGAAGCGGGAGGGGTATTCTGCAGAGCAGGTGGAGGAGATCGAGTTTCTCGCTGCTGAACTTGGCCATTGTGTGTTGCTGGAAAAAACAACCTTTGGCTTAGATGAAGTGATTGACTGATTGACTGTTTCATTCACTCATTTAACTGACATTTATAGGGCGCCTTGTATGTGGCAGGCGTTTGCCAGATTCAAGTTTTAGAGAAGGGTACCAAGTAGGGAATAAAATTCAATTCCACTGGGAAGAAGGGCAGGAGGCCCTGTTGATGTAGGGAAAGCCCCAACTGCGGTCTATTTTTAAAGAAGTACAGTTTGGCTGTATTCAGATGCATAAAGTAACATAAACCTGCTCCACGGCAGAGCTAAAATCGGATCTAAGAAGCACCTAGCTGCTTGCAAATATGGTGTGACTAACATGATTTGAAGAGAACCAGTTTTCTTTAGAGGTTAAACATCCCCCTGGCAACTTCTCTATGTTCTTTATTCAGACAGCAGGTTCTCCTCAAACCTTTTAAGCACAGCCAAGTCTGTACAGATGAATTCCTAGTGAGAATGCACCCCAACTTGATTCTGCAATGTGTAGGACGCATTTGAGGTGTCTTCTGTATTGAGAAGAACCACATTCTCTGAGACCACCCTTTGGCCACAGGGAAAGACACCTGGTCCATCCTGATCCAATCTGATGATCTCTCCCAAGAATTTGGAATTGGGACTGACAGATGCTAGCTTCTGTGTGTGGCTGGAGCTGAGATTAATAACATTGGAGGCTCAGAAGGAGCCACATGTATGGAAAAGTGGACAAAGTTCTGTAATCAGAAAAAAAGAGATCATTAGAGGCCGGCCCGGTGGCACAGCAGTTAAGTGAGCACATTCTGCTTTGGTGGCTTGGGGTTCGTAGGTTCAGATCCCAGGTGCAGACATGGCACTGCTTGTCAAGCCATGCTGTGGCAGGCATCCCACATGTAAAGTAGAGGAAGAGGGGCACATATGTTAGCTCAGGGCCAGCCTTCCTCAGCAAAAAGAGGAGGATTGGCACCAGATGTTGGTTCAGGGCTAATCTTCCTCAAAAAAGAAAATAAATAAAATAAAAAAGAGATCACTAGCAGGGAGTGAGGTGGAGGGAACAAGAGAGAGAGAGACCTTTCTGGTTGTTCCTGGATCCCATTCCTCATGAATCTTTCAGCCTGCAAACTCTGAGAGATGACCTCAGAGGTAGGCATTTGCCGTTTTGGGCTCCCAGCTTTCCACCTCTCCTTCCTGAAACACCCTCCCACCGCTCTCATGAGTAGTCAGTCTTGGGGAGCAGAAGTGCCTGCCTCTTTCTCTCTGGAAGCTTCAGAGCCAGGGCCTCCCTCTCCCCATCGCTGTGCAGCGTGGCCCAGGCTCAACCAGTTGGGCACGCTCTTCTGGGACTTGAAGCAAATCCTTAAGGGGCTTCAGGAAGTCAGACATGGCAGCTGCAGTGACAGAGAATGACCAGCTTTTTCCTGCTGTAGGACGAGGGATCACAGCTGTGGCTCCTGCTGCCCTGAGTCCTGTCCGTTTCCCAAGCCAAGGCTGCCAGCTTCTGTCCATTCTGTGAGCCCCTAAAGCTCTTTTGGAACCCTCTCTTGCCTCAGATGCCCAGGCTCCATTGCTGTTGCTAGCAGCCAAGAGTCCATCTGACATACCCAGGGTCTTTATAGTGAATCCTTCCACAATTTGCTTGGGAGAAAAAACTTTTGGCTTGGATGAAGTAACTAACTGATTCATTCATTTAACCAACATTTATACCGTGCCTCCTCTAAAGCTGCCAGAAGGAGCATGACCCAACTTGAAGCATTGTTCTACTTTTTGCTGCAGAAGAACCTCGGCTACTGCATTCAAAGTGTATTAAGCATCACCAGTGTCTTATATTTCTGCCTACCTTCTCTCCTTTAGAATTATGGTCGGGATTAGACCAGGAAAGAAGAGGGAGTGGAGAATATGAGGAGTCAGAGCTGTGATGTCACCCAGAAAATTCCTGGGAAGACAAGGTGAGGTCTAGGGCTGTGTGTGTGTGTGTGTGTGTGTGTGTGTGTGTTGTTGTCAGGGTGATTTTTGTGGGCTGGAGTCCATCCCTTACTTGGAGCATCATGAGAGAATAGTCATCAGGGCTGCCATGTATGGCTGCACAGGTAGCATACTGAACAATTATACCTGGTGACTCTCCTAGACCATAGCTGGCTCAAAGTCAGGATCTCTAGCTGGAGATACTAAATATGCAGTCCACCGGCTTCAGCTCAGTAAACTCCTAAAAGATAAATTCTACCCTGTAGATAGCCTGGCTGACATGCAGAAATTATACATCTTCACACAGTTAAATTTATCAGTCCTTTCCCTTCTAGCTTCTATCTTTGTTGTCTTGATAAGTGATCCCTGCCTCATCCCCAAGGTTATAGAAGGATTTACCCAGATTTACCAAGATTTGCTTAGATTTACCTATATTTACCAGTTGGTACGCTCAATTCTTAAAACTCTCTCTGAAATTACAGTTTGGTTTCTCCTCTGGGAAAGAAAACAAAAAAGTAGAGCCCTTCCCAAATTGGGCAATTTAAGGAAAAATTATTTGAATCTCCAAGGGCAATCCATTTTTTATTCTATGAGCTCAGGTCTTCTGGGACCACATGCTCTGTGTTCTGGGCAGAGGAATCCGGTGGGTCAGGGTGTATTAACGGCAGGAAGTAGAGATGGAAACCGTGTTAGATCCCAGTACCATATAGCATTGACAGATTTAACATCTCTGAGCCTTAGTTTCCTCATCTGTAAGATGAGTATAATCATAGTTTGTAGTGAGGATAAACTGAGAATAAAATGGACCCAAAGCACTATTTTAGGATCTTCCAAAACCAGAGGTGCCTCTCTTCTCTGGCCTTGATAGGACTTTTTTTTTTTTGGATCATAGCAGGTAAGAAATTACAACACGGCAGGATACAGAGGCTGGTCAAAAGACTTTTTTTCTTCTTCTTCTTCTCCCCAAAGTCCCCCAGTACGTAGATGCATATTTTTAGCTGTGGGTCCTTCTAGTTGTGGCATGTGGGATGCCGCCTCAGCATGGCCTGATGAGCAGTGCCATGTCCGTGCCCAGGATCTGAACCGGTGAAACCATGGGCTGCTGAAGCGGAGGGCATGAACTTAACCACTCGGCCACGGGGCCGGCCCCTGGTCAAGAGATTTTATTCATGCTTTACTTCCTATCAAATGCAGAGACGTCCACTCTGGTCCTGTCCTCTGCTGAAGGTGAGATCCGTCCACTGTCTGGACTGTCCAGAGCCATGGGCTGGGCTTGCCTTGGTCTGTCTTTGGGGGCTGACAGCAGAGGGTACCTACCTCACATAGCCATGTGTGATAGGCAGAAAAAATGCCTCCACAAAGATATATTCACTTCCTAAACTCCAGAACTTGTGAATATTAGCTTTTTTTATGGCAAAACTTGTAGTGATTTAGTTAAGGACCTTGAGAGGATGCTATCCTGGATTGTCCCAATGGGCCTCAAATGCAGTCACATGTATCCTTAAAAGAGAGAGGCACAGGGAGATTTGACAGGTACACACAGAGCAGCTGACATGAAGATGGAGGCAAGGATTGCAGTGATGGGGCCGCATGTCAAGGACTGCCAGGCAGCCACCAGAAGCTAGGAGGCAAGGAGCCAATTCTCCCCCAAAGCCTCAGGAGGGAGCACAGCCCTCCTGACACCTTGACCTTGGACTTCTGGCCTCCAGAACTGTGAAAGGATGAATTCATTATTTTAACCACCACAGTTGTGACAGTCGGTTCGAGCAGTCATAGGAAGCTAATACATTAAGCCTCTGATGATGCAACCAGACCACTGTCATCAAGGACAGGCATTCAGACCACTTCTACTGCTTGTTGTTTCAGAGCAGAAAAAGAAGGGTCAATTCTCCAAAGAGAGAGCTTGGAAACACTACCTGATTGCTATGTTCTCTGCCTTGCAGATGTTTGTGAAGCTTGCTAAGAACCACAGACCCTGGTCACACTCCCATCACCTCATCCGCTTCCCCTGAGACAAAAACTCATGGTTAGTGTCAGGGACTTTCAATTTCCCATGAAAGGGACCTTTCCGAGAATCTACCATAATCAACAGTTAGTAAACACTCAATAAATAGAAACTGTTATTATCTGGTCAGGCGTGGCTGCTGAGACAGTGGAAAGGAGTATGTTCAGAACGGAGGGTTGGTTCCTCTGGTCTGAAACTCCCCCAGTAGCCCTCACCCCAAGCAGGGAGTGGAGAGCAGCCTGTCTGCCGCAGTGCAGGGAGCGCAGCTCCGGGAGCAATGCGAGTGGGTCCGTCTGCATGCACAGGCCTCCTTTTGAATTGATTCCTGAGGATGAGGAGTCTCTAGACAGGATGAAGGAAAGCCTACACACACACACACACACACACACACACACACACACACTCAGAAAGAGAGAGAGAGAATGACAGGAGAAGTGGGGGCTTCTAAGGAAGCAAGGAGATCCAAACTAAGGTGATGAGTGAGGGACAGAACAGGAAATAAATTTTTTCCGAAGTGAGGTTATCTCATCTTCTGGAAGAGGCCACAACAGCCCAGGATGCACCAATCGTAGCAAATGTGAGGAAACCAGTAGGGGGAAGAGTCAGGTGCTGGTGATGGTCGGCTCCCTGCTAAGGCGCAGAATGAGGGCAGCGGTGGAGCTGATGTAGACCAGGGCGAGCAGGTGTGAGGGGTCCCTGCTGCGTGTCTCAGGGCAGAGATGAGCCAGAGAGCTTTCCACATACCAAAGGACCCCTGTTGATTCGCGGGGAGACATCACCAGAAAAGGCCTAAAGAACATTTCCAGGAGTTAAGAGGGCAACAAACCGGTGGCATTTTCAGCATTTTTTCCCTGGCTGAAGGCTGGGACTTTGGAAAAGAAAGGACACCAAGAGAAGTGAATCTTTGACTTATCAGTGTTTCTTAAAGTGTGGTCAATCTGAAGGTCTCCTGTTTCAGAATCTTCCAGTAAAAAAAGGAGACTCCTGCGTTCCCCTGCGTTCCCAGATCTATCAAATCAAAATCTCTGTGAACAGCCCAGGAATCTGGCTTTTAAAAGCTCCCCAATCATTGTTACGCAGACCAAAGACCAGGAACCACTGACCTAGGTGGAGTCAAAGAACAGGCTTGGGCTTTCTGTATCACAATCTGAAATGCCAGATGAATGCACTCTTGAATCCAGATGGAGTACATTTCACAGGCCTGAGAAGACTGTCTAGAGATTGGCTGTTAAGTGGAAAAAGAGAGCATTGGGAGGAGTTGGGGAGAAGGGGAGGAAGTGATATTCAGCTAAAAACTGTAAAACCAGTAGGACAAGAAAGGAACAATGGCAGCAGTGTAAAAGGATGACTCTGGAGTCAGACTACCTGGATTCATATCTTAGCTCTCTTTCCAACTGGCTGTGTGGTCTCGGGTAAGTTACCTTACCTTCCTGAGCCTTGGTTCCCTTGTCTGTAAAATGGGGACTATAGGAATATCTGCCTGATAGGATAGGCGCTTGAGATGGTTAACTTTATGTGTCAACTTGATTGGGCTATAGGATGCCCAGATAGCTGATGAAACACTATTTCTGGGTGCGTCTGTGAGGGTCTTCCTGAAAGAGATTAGTATTTGAATCAGTAGCCTGAGTAAAGATCACCCTCACCAATGTGCGTGGGCATCACCCAATCTGTCGAGGGCCTGAATAGGCTGATTAGAACAAAAGGGTGGAGGAAGGGCAAATTTGCTCTCTGCTTGAGCGGGGACATCCATCTTCTCCTGCCCTCAGACCTCAGCGCTCTTGGTTCTGGGCCTTCAGTCTCCGACCAGGACTTAGACCAGCAGCAACCTCCATCCCCACCCATCCCACCCCGCCCCACCCTGCCCTGGTTCTCCAGCCTTTGGGCTGGGACTGGAACTACACCATCGGCTTCTCTGTGCCTCCACCTTGCAGACGGCAGATCAAGGCACTTCTCAGCCTCCACAACCATGAGAGCCAATCCCGCGTAAGAAATCTCTATGTATTTATGTATATTCTGGTTAGTTCTGTTTCCCTGGAGAACTCTAATACAGCGCTTTACGCACATTATATGTCTTCAGTGCATAGTGAGCATTCCATAAATGTTAGCTACTATTGTTATTATCATTATTGGAATGTGTAACCAGTACTTCATGGGCTCAAATCTTTAGAAATGAAGACATAAATAATATTTATGATCTCTGACACCTGTAGAAATCTAAGCTGTCTTGGTCCATTCGGGCTCCTATAACAAAATAACATAGACCAGGTGCCTCATAAACAACAGAAATTTATTTCTCATAGTTCTGGAGGTTCGAAGTCTGAGATCAGGATGCCAAACGGTCTAGCAAGGTCTCTCATCTGGTTTGCAAATTTTTTTTTTTTAAGATTGGCACCTGAGCTAACATCTGTTGCCAATCTTCTTTTCTCTTCTTCTTCTCCCCAAAGCCTCCTGGTACATAGTTGTATATTCTAGTTGTAAGTCCTTCTGGTTGTGTTATGTGGGACGCCACCTCAGCATGGCCCGATGAGCGGTGCCATGTCCACGCCCAGGATCCAAACCAGTGAAGCCCTGGGCCACTGGAGCAGAGTGCAAGAACTTAACCACTGGGCCGCCGGGCTGGCCCCGCAGATTCCTCATTGTATCCTCACATGGCTGAAGGGGGCTAAGACTCTCTATGGAGCCTCTTTTATTAGAGCACTAATTTCATTCATAAGGGCTCCACCCTCGTGACTTAAATACCTCCCAAGGCCCCACCTATTAATACCATCACCTTCAGGGGTTAGGATTTCAACATATGAATTTTGGGGGAAACAAACATTCAGACCACAGCAGAAGCATTTGAGGTTTTAACAGTAGAGATATTTACATAAACCCAACCAAGTGGTGAAAGATACTCCTTGTTCAAAGAGGCATAACTGCCAGAAGGCAGGAGAGAGAGTCCTACAGATCAAGAAGATGCACTCCTGCATAGAAATCCTCACCAAGGGGCCAACTCTGTGGCCGAGAGGTTAAGTTCCTGTGCTCCGCCTTGGCGGCCTGAGGTTTCGTCGGTTTGGATCCCGGGGTAGGGGGACACGGCACTGCTCATAAGGTCATGCTGAGGCTGCATCCCACACAGCACAACCAGAGGGACCTACAACTAGAATATACAACTGTGTACTGGGGGGCTTTGGGGAGATGAAGAAAAAAAAGAAGATTGGCAACAGATGTTAGCTCAGGTGCCAATCTTTAAAAAAAGGGAAAAAAAAGAGAAATCCTCACCAAGACTCATGCAAGAAAGGCTCTAGGTGAGGATTAAAGGAGAGCGGAAACTGGAAAATATGATTAATGGAGATGACGATTCTAGTGCAGACGCAAGCTGAGGTGAGGAGGAGAGACTTCCACTCTCTGGACATCTGGGGAGTTACGTTAGCTCAAAGATATGCATCTGGTAATGACTTGACTTATCTTCAGGATAATTCCATCTCTCAGAAGATGAACTGAGAAAGAAGAGACCTGCTATATGGGACCTAATCCTGACCAACACAAAATAACTAGTTGAAGAAACAGATACAGAAGGGAAGCCCGGGGAGAATCATTTTGGGGATGGATGCCGGCCGGGGCGATGACCGGTTTTCAAGGCCCAAACTCTGTGATTTCTATAGGGCTTTTCACAGCATGCTCTATTAACCAGGCTTCCCCAAACTCAGGGAACCCCCAGGGTCAGGGAATTCCTTGACCCTGGCGAATCCCCACCCTTCCCGAGATCTTTCCTTTTATAGAGTCAGCTGAGCAAGATCTCTTGAGATTCTTCACATATTTGGCTTAAGAAAAACAGGGCTGGGCCAAAGGTCCTGCTGAAACAGCAGGACAAAGCATGGTGGTGTTTCCTACCCAGAGTCACAGCACTTCACTGCTGCTCTTCTGTCCTGCCCAATCATTGCCCAATGTCTGATCCAAAAGTCAGCTCCTATCGACACCCCTAACATTTGAGAACACTCTCCCCTTTAAAATGATCCCCTTTAAACCCAGGCTCTGAGGTCAACCTACCCACATAACCAAAGCCTCTTAGTGGTATTAGAATTGGGTACTTGTCAGAGTATCCTTAGTTTGTTACATGCGTCGTATAAGATAATAGTGAGAAAAGAGATTTTAAAAAAAGAATCATATAACATGGCTGATATAGTTTCCACCTCTGTATCTGGTAATAAGGCCTATGCTGATAATGACAAGGGAATTTTGCCACTAGTCATTCCGTCTTACTCTTACCCTCTGCCAGCATGAAGGATGGGCAGATTTGAGTCCTTGCTGGTCTTGTCTTTACTGGATTGCTGCAGTTTTCCATTGACCAGGACTATTGGGCAAAAGAATCATAAGAGACATTCCCACGAGTCTCCTTGGTGGCAGACATAGTCTTTCTTGCCTCCACTGTGTAGCAGCAACGTGATTTCCCCCTAGTAAACAAGACTAATCATCCCCTCAGGCACGATGACCTCTTTCCCTTCCTGTTGGTTTAGGGGCATCAGGAAGCCCAAAAGGTGAGAGGGCAGTCTCAGCCTCCAATACATTAGAATCATGCCCTTATTTCCTGGTGTATGCATTCTTCTCTTGGACACTTGGACTTCCAAAAAGACTGAGGCCAAGGTCACAGAGATGGGAAGAAAAAATCCTTCAAGTGAGTTAGTAGGTGTAACAGTGAGAGGGAGCACTCCCACCTCTACTCCTGGGTTCCCAAACCAATGCATTCTGGCCATGGAGGAGATGGTACCACATATTGGCCTCTGTCTAAGGCATACAAAGCACCTGTAGGACGACATCCACACTTCCCAAGAGTTTATCTCCAATTTGTGCCATAACTAATCTTTAGCAGGTTGTTCTACCTATCAAGCCAGCTGTTTCTGGGTGATGGAGCACATGGTAAAACTTGTAAAGTCTGTGGTTATGAGCCTCTGGCCCACATGTCCATTTACCAAAAAACGTGTCTCCTTGTCAAAGTGATGTTGGGCGTTATTCTGTGGTGATTGATCAGTCCACCTATCAGGCCACAAATGGTGGTACTGTGAGAAGCCCTCAGTTCAGAGAAGGCACATCCATACCCGAAACACGTGTATATCCCTGATGTGCACAAAGCACTGTACCCTCCACGAGGGGAAAGGTTGAACATAGTGAGTGGCCGGCAGGTTCCTGAGGGGAACATCTCATATCAGGGGCTCCTCACCCTTACCTGCCCTGTGATGCCAGGAGACAAGGAACTCCTTTGAAGCTGCCGTAGAGGCCTTCCGGTTCTTCATGCCTGTTTTATTTGTATGCTCATAATGTTTATTTCCCTTTTTCCCTAAATATGCTCTCTGGTGCCCTAAGAAACCAGTTGACTTCAGAGACTTTATAATCACTATTGTTGTCACAGCGACTTAAGTGCCACAGATACTTGGTCTTCCAATGCCTGCCCTCCACCTGCACTTCATTCCTTGATGCCACTGGTGATAATTTGAATAATTGTGATGACACTGCACACCACAGATTACTGTGTCCTGTTTACCCCTGGCAAGGAGGTTATCTACGCACTCCTTGAATATATGATCAACACGACCCCAGAATCCAATTTTTAAAACTTTTCATTTTGAAATAATTACAAATTCACAGGATGTTGCAAAGAAATGTACAGGAAAGTCCTGCACACGCTTCTCCCAGTTCCTCCCAATGTTAACATTTTAAACAACTATAAAACTATATCAAAATCAACAAATGGCATTGGTGCAACCCATAAACCTTTTTTATTTCACCAGTTATATGAGCACTCATTTCTGTGTTTTGTGCAATTGTTATGGGTAGCCTTGCATAACCAACACTATGATCAAGATACTCAACTGTATGGTCACAAGACTCCTTCGTGTTACCTTTTGTAGCTACACTCACCCTCTCTCCCATTCTTAATCCCTGTCAATAACTAATCTGTCCTCCATTTTTATAATTGTCATTTCATGAATGTTACATAAAAGGAATCATGTGGTATGTATGCTTTTGAGACTGGCTTTTTTTCACTCAGCATAATTTCCTTGAGGTTCATCCCAGTTGTGTGGATCAGCAGTTTGTATTTTGTTGTTGAATAGTATTTCATAGTATAGATGTACCACATTTGTTTAACCATTCACCTATTGAAAGATATCTGAGTTGTTTCCAGTTTGGGACTATTATAAATAAAGCTGCTATGAATATTCAAGTACAAGTTCTTATATAAAAATAAGTCATTTCTCTGGGATAAATGCCCAAGTGTGCAAGTGCTGGGTCATATGGTGAGTCCATTTTTAGTTTTGAAAGGGTCTGTCAAACTATTTTCGAGAGTGACTGTGCCATTTCATATTCCCATCAGCAATGTATGAGTAATCCAGTTTCTCCACAATCTTGCCAGCATTTAGTACAACTATCACTATTTTTTTTTTTAAAGGTATGCTTTTTTGGTGAGTAAGATTAGCCATGAGCTAACATCTATTGCCAATCTTTTTTTTTTTTTTTTTTTGCCTCCCCAAAGCTGCAGTACATAGGTGTATACCCTAGTTCTAAGTCATTCTAGTTCTTCTTTATGGGGTGCTGCCTCAGCATGGCTTGATGAGCAGTATGTAGGTCCGCGCCCAGGATCCACACCGGGGAACCCTGGGCCACCAAAGTGGAGCACTGAACTTAACCACTCAGCCATCGGACCAGCCCCTGATTACCACTGTTTTTCAATTTGGCCATTCTGATAGTTGTGTAGTGATATCACATTGTGGTTTTAATTTGCCTTTCTCTAACAACTAATGAAGTTGACTATGTTTGCACACTTATTTGTGATCCGTATATCATCTTTGGTGAAATGTTTTACGTATTTTGCTGATTGTCTAATTGGATTTTTTAAAAAGTTTTGAGACGTTTTTATGCATTCTAAGTATAAGGCCTTTGTTGGATATGTGATTTGCAAATACTTTCTGCTAGCCTATAAAATTTGTCTTTCCATGCTTTGAACTAGGCCTTTTGCAGCACAAAAGTTTTCACTTTGATGAAATCCAGTTTATCCATTTTTTTCTTCTTGTGGATTGTGCTTTTGGTATCAGGTTTAAGAACTTTTGCCAAGTTCTAGATCCTGAAGATTTTTCCTTATGTTCTTTTCTGAAAAGTTTTATAGTTTGATGTTTTATGTTTAAATCCATGCTCTAAATTTTTTTTTTTTTAAGATTTTATTTTTTCCTTTTTCTCCCCAAAGCTCTCCGGTACATAGTTGTGGGACGCTGCCTCAGCGTGGTTTGATGAGCAGTGCCATGTCTGCGCCCAGGATTCGAACTGACGAAACACTGGGCTGCCTGCAGCAGAGCGCGAGAACGTAACCACTCGGCCACGGGGCCAGCCCCATCCATGGTCTGAATTTTTAATTTAAGGTGTGAAGGTCAAGGTTCTTACTTTGCTGGTGGATGTCCATTTATTCCGGCACCACTTATTTTTAAAAAGGCTACTCTTTGATTGAATTGTCTTTGCTCCTTTATAAATAATTAATTCTGTATATTTGTGTGGATCTATTTTCAGGTTTTCTATTCTGTTCCACTAATCTATGTGTCTTTCCCTCTGCCAGTACCACACTCTCTTGATTACTGCACCTATATACTAAGCCTTAACACTAGAAAATGATTCTTCCCACTTTATTCTTCTTTTTCACCAATGTTTTGGCTATTCTAGGGCTTTTCCCTTCCGATATAAACTTTAGAATAAGTTTGTCTATGTCTACAGAAAAACTTGCTGGGATTTTGACAGGAAGTGCATTAAACTTATAGAACACTTTCGGGGAGAATTAATATCTTTACTATGTTGAATTTCTCAATCCATGAACATAATAAATCTCTCCATTTATTTAGGTCTCCCTTAACTGCTTTCACCAGTTCTTTATAATTTTCATTATACAGATCCTATACATGTTTTGGTGCATTTATACCTAAGTAACTTTCTTTGGAGCAATCTAAATGGTATTGCAATTAAAAAATTTTTGGTTTCCACTTGTTTGTTGTCAGTAAATAGAAAATACAATTGACTTTTGTGTTGATCCTGTATCTTACTGAACTCACTTATTCTAGGAGTTTTGTTGTAGATTCCTTAAAGATTTTTATGTAGATAATCACGTCATCCGCAAATAGAGATAGTTTTATTTCTTCTTTCCAATCTGTATGCCTTTTATTTTTTTTTCTTGCAGTGGCTAGAATTTGCAGTACTACATTGAATAGCAGTAGTGAGAGTAAACATCCTTTCATTGTTCCTGATCTCAGAGGGAAAGCATTCAATCTTTCAACATTAAGCATGATGCTGGCTGTAGATTTTTTTTCGGTAGATCCTCTTTATGAGATTGAGGAAGTTCCCCTCTATTTTTAGTGTACTGAGAGTTTTTACAATGAATGGGTGTTGAATTTTGTCAAATGCCTTTTCTGAATCAATTGATATCATTCGGTTTTTTCTTTGTTAGGCTACTGATATGGTGGATTACATTGATATATATTTTTTTTCTTGAGGAAGATTAGCCCTGAGCTAACTGCTGCCAATCCTCCTCTTTTTGCTGAGGAAAGCTGGCCCTGAGCTAACATCCATGCCCATCTTCCTCTACTTTCTATGTGGGACACCTACCACAGCATGGCTTGCCAAGCGGTGCCATGTCCACACCCGGGACCCAAACCAGCGAACCCCAGGCCGCCGAAGCAGAATGTGCGCACTTAACCGATGTGCCACTGGGCCGGCCCATACATTGATATTCTAATATTGACACAGCCTTGTACAGCAGGAATAAATCCCTCATAACGAGTCAAGTGTTCACTCTTCTTTTTTCTGGAAAAGACTGTATAGATCAACTCTTTGAATGTTTCATAAAATTCTCCAGTGAAACCATCTGGGCTTGGAGATATCATTTTTGACAGTATTTTATAATCACAAATTCAATTTTAGGATTACTCAGGTTCTCTACTTCATTTTGTCTTAGTTTTGGTGGTTTGTGATTTTCAAGGATTTTGTCCATTTCTTCTAAGTTGTTGAATTGAGCTTAGAGTTCTTCATAGTACTCCTTTTTTATTCTTTTAATGACTGCAGGATCTGTTGTAATGTTTCCTTGTTTCATTCCTGATATTAGTAGTTTGTGTCTTCTGTTAGTCTTGCTAGAGGTTTATCAACTTTATTTTTTGAGGGACTAGCTTTATGTTTCATTAACTTTGCCCTCTCATTTTCCTCTTTTCAGTTTCATTCATTTCTGCTCTTTATCATTTCCTTCCCTCTGATTGCTTTGGGTTTAGTTTGTTATTCTTTTTCAAGTTGCTTGAGCTACGAACTTACTGATTTGAGATCTTTTATAATATAAGTACACAGTGCTATATAAATTTCCCTTTCAGTGTTTCATTAGCTGTATCTTACAGATGTTGATGTTTTCATTTTCACTCATTTCTATGTATTTTTCTTTTGAGACTTCTTTGACCCATGGATTATTTATAAATATGCTGTTTAATTTCCAAGTGTTTGGCGGGTTTCCTATTGTCATTCTGTCGTTGATTTCTAGTTTGATTCCATTATAATCAAGAGAACGTATTCTGTATGGTTGAAATTCTTTGAAATGTGTCAAGGTTTGTTTTATAGCCCTATGGTCTATGTGGTAGTATGCTCCACGGGCACATGAAAAGAATGTGTATCCTGCTGTTGCTGAGTGTTTTATAAAAGTCAATTCGATCCTACTGATTTGATGGTGTTGTTCAGTTCTTCTGTATCCTTGCTGATTTTCTCTAGCAGTTCTATCAATTGGTGAGCGTGAGGTGTTGAAGTCCCTAAGTGTAACTGGGATCTGCCTATTTCTCCTTTTAGCTCTATCAGTTTTTGCTTCATGTATTTTGAAGCTTTGTTGCTTGGTGTATACACATTTAGATTTGCTCTATCTTCTTGGTGGATTGACCCTTTTATCATCATGTAATGTCCCTTATAGTCTCTAGTATTTTACTTCAAAGTCTAATTTATCTGATATTAACATAGCCAGTTTTTTTTTAAAATTAATGTTAACCCAGTTTTGAAAGTTAGTTTCCTGGAGCCACTTGCAGTGACCAATTATTCTATCAGTGTGGGTCCCAAAAAGAAACAGACAGCACACTGATGTTAAGACAACTTGAGGAAGGTTTAATAAACGGACTATTTACAAAGGTGTGCACAGGCTCGAGGGGAACCACAACAGGTAGCTCAGCACCCCAGGACTACTAACAGTAGTTACTAGTTACCGAAACCCAGGAGAAAATCCTATAAAGAATGCGACCTTGATGGAAACAGTGATCTTCGGTTGAGGAACAAAGTGAGACCAAGGTGATCCCATAGGGAGGGAGCCAGAAGAAATACCATGCCCTCACTTCCTCTGTTGACCCCGCTTCCTCTGTTCAATCTCCTGCCCTGCCTCCTCATTGTTCAAATGCAGTCGGAAGTGAGCAGGGGGAAAGGGATGCAGTGCACATAGGTTAGCCTCCTGGGGCAGAAAGCAGGGTGGAAACAGGTAGAGAATGGATCAGGTGGGGCAAACAGAAAATATCTAACAGTTCCTAACCCTGAGCTGATAACTTTTCGTTTGGATTACCTCTATGTTTACAGGACCAGAATCCTAGGAAGAGGTTTAGAATAACTAGAACTATCTAAAAATGGGACTAGCTAAAGCAGGAACACCCATGACCTAGAAATCCTCCTTCAGTGGACACCCAGCGGTGGGAATACCATGGAGAAACTTTAAGCATCTAAGAACTGGCTTTGCTGACCTCTGAAGTTCCCTCAGCCTTGAGATCCTGCTGCTGAGAAAGCTGCAACAAAACAGCCTAAAAAGTATGGAAACTCTAGTCAGTGTGGAGATCCCAACCACTAGCATTAGGAATCAGGTGGGGGTGTGCAGAAGCAGCAGACTGTGTGTGTGTGGATGTTTAGGGCAAGGTTGGGGAGATGAACAGGTACAGGTGTCTATTGGACATCAGTCACAAATGAACAAGAAACACAGCAATATCACACTGGACGAAGGATAGAAATTAAACTCTTCTCTTACATCAGCACCAAAGTGGACAGCACGTAAAAGGCACTGTGTTAAGGTGATTTTGAGATTTCATCTCAAAAGTCTCTGCAAATTTCCTGTTGAAATGGGATAAAGTTCAAACTCCCTCACTCAATACACAAAGCTCTAAGAGTTCAACAAGAGAAACCTTGAGAAAACTGACTTAAACATAAGGAAAAGTATTAGCTTTCAGGACTGAAAATCCAGAGGTAAAGTGGCTTCCATGTTGGCTGATCCAATAGTATAAGGATGTCATCCTGAGCCCAGGCATGTACTGTGTCTTTGCTTTACTGGCCGTGGCACGTGCTCCTTCCAAAGCCTAGAGACTCTTGCGGTTGGAGGACAGCAGTCAGAAGCACTCAGGGCTACCTAAAATTAGAACCATGGCTGCTTCTGGGTTTATACAAAGGAGGCCTCTCCTTTCTGAGGAGTCCTGGGCAAACTTCCCCTTGGACCTCTCTGGTTCAAACTGGAAAATCACCCTGGCAAGGTGGATGGGATTACTGATTGGCTCAAACGAATCAAGGCCCATGTGCAGATCTTTGCCTGAGGTCAATGATTCCGAAGCACAGGGCTACTCTGAAGGAAGGGGAGAAATGAATGCTTCATAAGCAACCAGCAGTACCCACATGCAGAAGCCCTCTTAAGGCACCATTCACCTCCACCTCTGAACTTCACTACTCCACGACGTCAACACTAGACTCTCAGGTTTGGGAGCAACATTGTATGCCCATTTAATTGACATGCTTGATAGAAGAGATTGGAAGTTTCTAACACTTAGGTGCTAAGCTATTCCACTCAAGGAGAAAGGGCCTGGATGAACATAAAGGAGGTGTGATTTTGCCTTTCTTTAAACAGTCCGACGGTCACAGGTGCCCCTTCTGGCATGTGCAGCTCTTCCTAACAAGTAAAATTCCAAGTTTAACGACACAGAATATATTTCTTAAATAAATAAAAAAGCCCTGAAATACAAGCCAATTACTTAAGGGCTCATAGAAGAAAAATAGCAAGATCAAGCAGTGTTCTGTTAAACTTACTTTCCTTACGTGTAAGTATTCGTCAGGTTCCTAACAGAGCTTTGAACGCTGAGTTAGGAAAACCTGGCTGGGTCACACTTAACAAGAGTCAGCAGCTCACAGCAAAGTGCGAGGCCACTTCTCTAACTGCAGAATAACTACCTCAGTGCCAAAGTTAGAACCTCACCTTTGCAAACCTCCCTTAGGCCTCTTGGAGTTGGAGGACTGAAAACGAGGAAGTTTCAGACTCCAGGGCCATTGTAGGGCAGATGACACCAGAGTGCAGCTCCCAGCCAGTCCCTGTGGGTGGCTGTATGAGACCACGCATCATTTCTCTGGTCCTTAATTCATGGCTAGGAGTAACTCAAGGGACTACATAAACTGAGGCCATGGGGCTGTGCTCACTGCAACCAAGCCGGGTGAAGAGCGGTGGTGCTGTAGTTACACTTCTACCCGAGCCACTGGCCAGTCTTTACAAAAAGGCACCAGCCAACTCCCTGGCCCAGAAGCCTTTCGTTTTAAGTCAGGAGATGCTCAGAAGGCTATGGCTGTTCTGCAGAGCTGAAGGAGAGACCCCAGATGCAGGAGGGCTGCCACCTCTAGAGGAAAGCAGCCCCACTAGCAGGAACGCATTAAAGGCCGGGCAATGGGCACAGTCTACTCCATGGAGGCAAAAGGAGGGTGCAGGTGGTAGAGAACTTAAAAATAACAAAACTGACTACATCTGCTTTTTATCATCATCATTTGCTACAAACAATTCGAAACAATATTAGTGATAAAATATCTCACCCCACCAGAGACTGGAGATTAGTCCTACCAGTGAGCTACCAGAGTTTTCCACGTTATCCACTAATGCTTTTGCAGGTAACTGAAACAAAGTACTCCACACCCACGCAAGAAAGGCCACCCTTCTCCCCCCTCTGATCCCTGGTCCTGCCAATACAGCTACATTGCTATGTTTATCTATAAACTACTCATCCTCATGACTCGAAGGGGCCTGACCAGCTGACTAGAACTCTGGAGGGTGGAAGAACATGGGTGCTGGGGAAAAGATGTACTGGTTTCCAGTCCCATTTCTATCACTTGATAGCTGTATGGCCCTGAGCAAATGACCATCTCTTTGAGCTTGCTTCCTCATAAGTAAAATGCGTATTAGCACAGCATTTAATTCCTAGAATTATTTTGAAGATTAAGAAAGAATGCTGTAAAACATTTAGCACAGTCCAGCAGATAAACACGATTCATACTTTCACTTACTCCTAAGTTATGAGAATTAAAATCTACCAGCACACATTCTACCAACCAAATTCTTTTTTCACTCCTGACTCCAGTTCCAGCGTCTAGTTTGTGAAATGAGCTCATCTTATATGTGAGATTTTTTCCCCACACAAATTATTTACATGCCTACAGTAACCAGAGTTGTTTTCTCAATGGTTGTGTTACTTTTTCTGTAAGACACTTAAATTTAAGAAAATCAAATCCTTCATCTCCAAGGTTTAGGGCCGAACTAGAGTGCAAAGATGTTGTCCAAATGAGGATGTGATAACCAATTAATTCCAATTCCTGCCTAAAGTATCCAACACTTTAACTGGAATGTATAGTCTATTGACATTCAATTAAATTACTGATATGGTTGGGCAAAAGTCTACCATCTTTCTTTAAGTTTTCTATTTGTCTCTTTGGTTCTTTATTCTCCCTTTCCTGTCTTTTTTTTGGGTTAGACTATTTCTTAATGATCCATTTTGTCTTCTCTATTGACTTTTTAACCATATCAATTTGTATTATTTTTTTAATGTAGACAGAGATCTTTATTACTCTATCTTGAGTTAATTTTACACCACTTCACAAATAATGTGAAAACTTACAATGGTTTAATTCCACTTTACTTTCTAACCAAGCACCTCCTTTAATTGTTGTCATTTATTTTACTTCTCCATGATGTTAACTCTCAATGTCTATGGCCACGCAGTAAGCATTTACCACAGGTGAAGTTGTCAAGTATCTTTTTACTGGCTCAGGTTCTCATGTGAGCCCTTGAAAAGGATAGGAACATTATTTATATACAAATACACACATACCTACACACTTTTTTTCTTAAAGTTCAGCACCTATCTCAGAAACCTGTAATGTTTTTGCTGATGAAGATTTATACATGTCAGAGCAGAATAAAGTGGTAGGGAGTCAATCCTAGTACCTTACTCTTATTTTTCACGGACTCTGTGGCATAGGATGTGTTACCCTTTTCCCCATCTTTCTTTTTAAATCTTTAAAACTCTTCTTATAAAAACCATCCCTTTAAAAAAAAAAAATCCTAAAGTTTTATCAAAAGGTATACTTCTTGGGGCTGGCCCCGTGGCCGAGTGGTTAAGTTTGCACGCTCCGCTGCAGGCGGCCCAGAGTTTCGTTGGTTCAAATCCTGAGTGCGGACATGGCACTGCTCATCAAGCCACAGTGAGGCAGCGTCCCACATGCCACAACTAGAAGGACCCACAACGAAGAAGAGACAACTATGTACCGGGGGGCTTTGGGGAGAAAAAGGAAAAAAATTAAATCTTCAGAAAAAAAAAGGTATACTTCTTGTCAGCTATGGAACTTACTGTAATTTAATCCCATCAGTTTTGTGACCTATAAATTGAAAGGTTCAGCA